GCCTATAGTCCCAGCTACTTGGGAGGCTGAGGCAAGAGAATCACCTAAGCCCAGGAGCTGGAGGTTGCTGTGAGCTGTGATGCCATGGCACTCTACCAAGGGTGACAAAGTGAGACTCTCTCTAAAATAAATAAATTTAAAAAATGGTTTATATGAAAAAGAAACTTGCTCATTTATAAAAAGAAAAAAATAGTGCAAACTAGGGTGATAGCTTGTCCTCTTTTACTCCCTTAGTCCCAAGTGGTGTTAGCTCAACAGCAGCAGATGTCAGGGTCCAAAGGGACCTTTAGTCACCATGAGAAATGAATGGGACCTCAGGTAGTCTCCAGTACTGGGAGGGCGAGAGCCTACTTTTTTCTGAGCTGGCCTTGCCAGGGACCTTTGCTGGAGTACCCATTTCTCTGGCCTCTGACAGCCCATGGTACTCTGCCTGCCCAGGCAGCCTTCCTAGTGCACAACACCCCACCACCACCCAGCCATCTGCCTTGGCCTAGGGACTCCTCAAAGCTACTACATTCCAGACAGATCCTAGCCCTTGAATAGGAAACCATTTCTAGAAAGAGGACTAGGCCAGGGAAGAGTTTGACCCTTTGAGCCACAAGGTTACTCAGGCCAGACAAGAAATTTGATGGCAGTCTAGAGACGTGCTATCTGGAAGAACTGAAATAGGTATGATTTTTATAGGACCCTAAAGACGATAACAGGGGGGACCTGCCCCACCTCCACGTCAGCCTCTGCCACTACACAGACAAATAAGGACCTGTACACACACTGGGATGTATGATGTCTTTGAGTTTCCCAGAGACTATGTAGGAAAAACAGAGGAAGTGCCTTCTTAAATTGACCCTCAAGACCCTAAGAGGGAAGTGAGAGACTTAGGGCTGAGCTTGTGGCTGGGTGTGCTTACCGTGCTGGGGCATGAAGCATGTGGGGGCATGAGGCTGGGTCAAAGACGGCCTGCAGGGATTCACAATCCTGGAAGGACAAGTTGTGAGTCTTCCGCACCCCTGGATGAGCAGACAGGGTCTCAGTGGGCCTTATTGACCTCCTCCCACTTACGGACCCTTTGGCTGACCAGCTGCCCACTCACCATACTTGCAGTGCAACTGGACCACCAGGCGGCTGCTCTTGCCATTCAAGGAAATGCAGCATTTTTCCACAGTCTTCTCCAGCATCGCCAGTGAACGGAAGACGGACAGGAAGGACTGTATTGGGGAATACATATCAGCCCGTGCTGCACCTCCACCAACCAGCTCTCAAGTCCCATGTAAGCCCTGGCCCATTATGTAACACTGAGAAAGGGACTCCCATAACATGCAGGACATTTGCAAACTTCTGGGCCTTCTTCCTGTTGTTCCCTCTGCCTGAAATGCCTTAAAAGAACTGCTTTTATCTTTCTTGACAACCTGAATATCCCCACTCTCTTAGGTCTCCTCTTTGGACAATTTTTTTAAGACTGTCTCACTCTGTCATCCTGGGTAGAGTGCCATGGCGGCATAGCTCACAGCAACCTCAAACTCCAGGCCTCAAGTGATCCTCTTGCTTTAACCTCCTGAGTAAGTGAGACTATAGGCAATTGCCATGCCTGACTAATTTTTCTACTTTTAGTAGAGATGGGGGTCTTACTCTTGGTCAGGCTGGTCTCAAACTCCTGAGCTCAGGTAATACACCCACCTCAGCCTCCTAGAGTGTTAGGATTACAGGTGTGAGACACAGCACCCAGCCTGGATGTCTTTATTATGCCTCTCAGTACTTTCTATTTACTCAATTTATTTATTTTTGAGACAAGGTCCACTCTGTTGAACAAGATACAGTGGCACCCTAGCTCACAGCAACCTCAAACTCCTGAGCTCAAGCGATCCTCCTGCCTCAGCCTCCCAAGGAGCTGGGACCACAGATGTGTGCATCAATGCCTGGCTAATTGTTTACTTCTTGTAGAGACAGGGTCTTGCTATGTTCCTCAAGATGGTATTGAAATCCTAGCCTCAAACAATCCTCCCTTCCAAAGTGCTGGAATTATAGGTGTGAGCCACTGTGCCCAGCCCCTCACTGCATTTTGCATAGGGTTCCACAGCTGGGGCCACTGTAGAGGGAAGGTCCTCACCTTCATCAGGATCTTACAGCGAAGCAGGTCCTGACCAGGGGTGACTGCCTGGTACTGCTGGAAGAAGAGGGGGGCAAAGAGGAAGCAGGCATAGGCAGAGCGGGAGGAATTCACAGTCCGGAGAGAGAGCTGGGCCAAGAAAAGCAGGGAGAGGGATGTGGTCAGGACACAGCGTCAAGCTCAGCCCTGCAGCCTGCTTTTGCTCACACACTCGCTCTATGATCCTCCCACTCCACCAACACCTGTTGAAACCCTCCTTCTAGGAGTCAGCGAGCATCTTTTCAGGAATTCTGCAGAGTGAGCCTCAGCACTGCCTCCACAGTGGAGGGTCCGCGCACCCTGCTCTTCCCCCAGATAGCTCTACGTCCACGTCACCACCACCCCCAATTCGTACACCAGCCTGAAAAGATGACGGAACCCAAGCCGATGCCCCAACTCAGCAGACAAATCTGCCCCAGTCATCCTGCCTGGTGGAAGCAAGACTGGAGTCTGGGTTACCGGCGCCAGGTTGGCACCCCACCTCCCCCGTACCCCAGCCCCTCACCCCGTACTCCAAGGGTTCCAGGTAGAGCTCGTCCCCGATACGGGACAGGGAGTGGACGGCCTTGCCGAGCACTGCGGGGAGGAGAGCAGAAAGGGTCAGGGTGGCGCCTCCGGCCGACTCACGTGCCCCCGCCGCCTGGCCAGCCCAAACTCACCCTTTACGTTGCCGCCGGTGACCAGACACTTCATGCTGACCCAACTCCGAACCTGGGCCTAGCCTAAGACTCGGCTGAGGGAGAAGGCTAGCCCGCTACACATAACTCCTGCAGGTCTCAGCGGCCGCCCTGAACGCCCGAGGTTCCCTTCGCGCGCACCGCCGCCGGCAGCCCGCCCCCGCCTTTCTATTGGTCCACATGCAGGCGCCTCAGTCACGTGAGAAGACGCTTGCAAGGCCTTGCGATCACGTGACGGAGTCTGTTTCCTAGGGTGGTCCTCGTCACGTGAACTGGAATCTCCTAGCCGGCTGCTTCTGGCTTTCCAGCCCTTCATACTCCGGGGGTACAGGGCTGCGGGGCAGGGCGCGCCGAACGCGAAGTGCTGAGAGGATGCAGCTCCAGAGCTCGAGCTGCCTGCTGCAGTGGACAGAGTCCTGGACTCGGAGTCGGAGTCAGAGATGTGGGGGCAAGCCCTCCTGGTCACTAACTTAGTACACATTTTCTGGGCGTCTGTGCAGGGTCAAAGCCTGACCAACCTCATCAAGTCTGGACTGGGGACTCAGACGCAAACAGCAATCGCTAGCTGTAAAAATAGGTCAAAGCAACCTGCTGTAGGAGCGGGCTGTTCGTTCTGGCTTCGAGGACCCTTTATTGATTGTCTTCATTGATCCTTGGAGAAAGAAGAGTCCTGGGATAGAAAGGGATAGAAGGCAGAGGGACTAACCAAGTGTAAAGGCTCAGCGGTGCTTGGGCTTTGCACTCTCAGGGAGGGGAGTGGGGCTGCCAGGATGATGCCGGGCACTACTTGGAAGATCTGGAAACGTTCTAGGAGGGTGGATGTTGTTATGTGCTTTTTTTTTTTTTTTTTTTGGAGACACTTTGTTGCCCTAGTTAGAGTGCTCTGGTATCATAGTGTACAGCAACCACAAACTCTTGGGCTCAAGAGATCCTCTTGCCTCAGCCTCCTGAGTATGGGATTATGGGCACCCATTTTTAGAGAGGGGGTCTCTCTTGCTCAGGCTGGTCTGGAACTCCCGAGTTCAGGCAATCCACCAGCCTTGGCCTCCCAGAGTGCAAGGATTACAGGCATAATCCACTGTGTCTGGGCTAAGTTATGTGCCTTTTTTTTTTTTTTTTTTAGAGATAGAGTCTCATTTTGTTACCCTCGGTAGAGTGCGTGGCGTCACAGCTCACAGCAACCTCCAGCTCTTGGGCTTAGGCGATTCTCTTGCCTCAGCCTCCCGAGTAGCTGGGACTACAGGTGCCCACCACAACGCCCAGCCATTTTTTTGTTGCAGTTTGTCCGGGGCCAGGTTTGAACCCGCCACCCTTGGTATATGGGGCTGGCTCCCTACTCACTGAGCCACAGACACTGCCCAGTTATGTGCAGTTTTAAAAGACCCCAGAAAGAAGGGGGTTCATTAGCTGGGTCTTCCCCTTGCCCTGGGCAAGTCCCACATGTATAAAGTAGAAAGGAGTCCCCCAGGGACTCACTGACCCCTGGTTCCTCACAAATCTCTGTGGGTCCTTCAAGGGCCCTGGGCATCCCTTTGGTTCCTTTAGGGCTGGCCTGTGCCTTGCCATTCTGGCCCCCTCAGTAGTGCAGCGTATAGATTTGTCTCTGACCCTTTGTCCTCCAGCCTCATTTGTAAAGAGTTATTGATACATAATAATTATACATGTTTTACATATGATAATTTCAGTACATGCATATACCTTATTTCTCCATCTGATTCCCATCAACTCCTCCCTGTCACCAATCTTTGCCTCTTCCCTACACTTCTGGGGGAGGAAGTTATTGTTCCCTTTCCCCCTCCAGGAGGATCAGTGTAATGGGACCTCCTTTACCTAGCCATTCAGCTCAGCAAGTTGGGACTCACCCTTGACCTACCCTCTTCCTCACCCCTGGTATAGTCCCTTCAGCAGATCCTGACGTCTCTGCCTCCTGGATACATAGCCACTTTGCTCTTCCCTTCCATCTCCACAGCCACTACCTGACTTGGGCCACCATCTTTTCAACCTGTACAAAGTGTAAGAGCCTTCAGTGGTCTCCTGCTTTCACCCTAGCACTTCCAGTCCACTATCTTAACAGCAGCAAAATTACTAAAATGTCTGTGTGTCATGCCTCTCCCTTGTTTACACGTTTCAATGGTTGCCATAAAATCCAAGCTCTACCCCAAACCTGTAGGGGACAGTTTCACCCATCTCCTCCCATCAATTGCCAGTCAGACCTGCCACTTTCTCTTCAATCTGTGGGTCTTTGCACATGCTGTTCCCACCACTTGGCATGATCTTTTCACTTCTCACTTATCTCCTCAGTGATCTGCCACAGTTGCTCGTCCTTGGCTAAGCCTTCTCTGCCCCCACCCAGCCCTGTGCTCTCTTGGTAGGTAGGCCCTTGCCCTGTGTTAGCCACAGAGCTTATCACATTTCAGCATCATCTCATACACATGCACGCTTATTTAGATCTTCTCCTCCGCCATGTAAACCAACAAAGCCTTCCCACCATGCCCACCTCTGCTCCATCCCCATTACCTCAGCAGCCTAACTGGGACAAGAGACAGGTGCCAAGTCTCTCTAGAACGGAAGGGAGGGGAAGGCCGTGAATATTAACAGGGTCCTGTTTCTTCCCCCTGACACTTAGGAGGCTACAGAGTCCCATGGCCTTGAAGTCTTTGGGTCAAGGCCCTAGGCATGGGGGAAAGGACACAGAAACTCTTTGAATACCAAGGTCTCAAGCTTGGGTCTTCTTGCAACTTCAGACCTAATCAGTTGGGTAAGAAGTGGTAGACAAAGAGAAGAAACTCCCCAACGGGTAATTATTGTAATAATTCGAACGACAACCACCTTCTTCCACCGCATATCTGCTCCCCTCCCCATATGCGCACGCTTGCACATCCTTACACGGTCCCTGCAGCTTCATTATGTTGAGGAAGAAACTGACCCAGAGAGGAGCCTTGAACGAACTGTTACTGCAAATTGGACATCTGAGTGGAGGGTGAAGGAGGTGAGGGAGTGAACCCTGCAGACATGTGGGGAGGAGCACTTCAGGTAGAAGGAATGCCCAGTGCCAAGGCTCTGAGCAGAAGTTTGAGGAATTGCACCTTCAAGAGAGCCAAGGCTCCTGAACTGGGGAGGACTACAATCTAGTGGGGAGAAACTGACATCAGTCAAAGAACCACCAAATTGAATGTGAAATTACACCTTTGAGAAGGGACAGGAATGATGACAACATGGGCATGTCCTTGTGCAGAGCTGGTCAGCAGTATCAGGGAGGGCTTTCTTGAAGAAACAGTTTGAGGGAGGTGAGGAATGAGAAACAAGCTAACCAAAGAAGCCCATTTGCTAAGAAGTCATCATTTCGCCAGGCACTACTCTGTCCTGCCGCAGGATATCCTCCTCACACAAGGACTACAGAGATGAGCACAGACAGGATATCTTGTAGTCGGCATTTTGCCAGATTTGGGTAACTAATGGGCAGAAGGGCAGAGGAATTTTGGGTTGGAAGTTCTCTCTGGTTTGTCTTGATCTAGTCTCTGCACAGGCAGAAAATGGCATTTGTGTGGTTACTCTGGGGTAACCAGGCAGGCAAGGGAGCTATACATGGAGGACCATTAAGCTGGTGGAGTGCTACTTAGCCTTCCTGTGATGAGTTTGTGGCATGCCAGGCATTGCCAGCCCCTTGCCAAGCCCTGCCCATGCCTTTCTTGTTCCCTGGCATTTCTCCCAGTAGTCAGACAATGTGTGAATGTGGGATAGATTTGGTGAGTCTGTTGAATGACTGAAGAGTAAAGGATTCAGAGAGGGCACAAGATTTGAACCCAGGATGAGGTTGAGGATAAGAATGTGATTTTACATCAGAATCCTGGCTCTATCACTTAACAGGCCGAGTGAAAGTGGATGAGTTGCTTATATTTTCCAGAACTCAGTTCCCTGATCTATAAATTGAAGGTATCAACAGAGAGCTGTTGTAGGGATCAATTTGGCTAATGTGTACAGAGCTTTGAGCATCTGTCAGGACACCTATTCTGTGGTTGCTGTGCTCTGCCCTCCCCAAGTGTATCCTCACAATGTCATAGGGTCACAGCTGGACACAAGTCATCAGCCTGGATGGAGCCAGGGTGAATCCACACAAGGAACCCAGGAGGAAACGCTCCTCAAAGAAGTGTCACAGAGCAGAGGTCTGCGGTCCAGGCACTGTGAGAGGTTCTGAGGTTTCTTGGGTTGGGGCAGAAAAGTTAGATCAGGGGAAGGAGGCTCCGGGGAAAGGCTGTTGCTGCTCCCAGCTGTGCCACATGCTGGCCCCATGATTCTAGGCCCTCTGTGTCCTCTGCCTCCCAAGGAGAACCTGAGTCCTTGCCTTTCTTGCAAGCTTGCTAGACACTGGCACCAGACAATGGATGTGCCCACACTACCAGGCACTGTGCACAAACCAGGGATCAGTTTTTTTTAGTCTGCAGGGCTGGAGGTGGAAGGGAGATGCGAAGGAAATTTTTAAACTCACAGTGGGGATAGGAAGGGGAAGCTCAGGCTTGTTCACCAAAACCTGGCATTCTGGAGTTACAGGACCCCTTGGAGCGCAAGTGAGGTAAGTTTAGGACAAATCAAAGGCAGAGTGCTTCCCCCAGCAGGGGACACCAATGGAACTCATTACCCCAAGATGTGGTCTTGACTAGAAGTAAAATAGCTTCATAAAAGGCTTAGATAAATCCATGGATGACAGCTCCATTCATGGGTTAGAAGGGGAAGGAGGCTGTTTGGGGCCTGTCGTCCCCCAGGGAAGGAGTCAGAGAGGTGACTTGGCCTTCCTAAAATGACCCCTTTGCATCCCAGTCTGAGGCAGGCTTCCGGTGGCATGGACTCCAGGAGGTAATGTGGTGTCCTTGTAAGCTGGAGCCAGGCCTGAGTCCGGGTCCCTTTCCTCCCCTTCCTCCACTCCTTGTTCTCTCTCTGGGGGAGATGAGGGCGCTGCCAACTTTGGGGAAAGCATCCTGGCCAGGCTGTCCCCTGAGGAACCAGCAGAGGGAGACAGACACCGTATCCTGTCTCAGTTCTCTGCACATGCTGGATGGGCCAGGCTGATGGGCCTTGGGCAGGGTAGAGCATCTATGCCCA